AACTGATAGCATTGGTTTCTGGGAGATAGACTAGAAAAGTCAGAACGCCTACTAAGTATAAGACCTACTTTGGAAACTCATCCATCTTGAACACTGCTGATGGGGAGGGGGAAGAGGTAGATTTTTTGAGGTCCTTCTGGCCAGGTTTTTCCTCAATCTCTCTCATCATGCATCTTCCCTTACGAGAGAGAATTCTAGGGAAGAACAGAACTGGGTCGGGTGGGCGAAGTCTGAATGCTGACTTCTTCATTTATAAATGAGATAATTCAATCAGATCATCTCAAGAGAAAACCAGGTCTGTCTCTGAAGTACCCCATGGTATAATAAGAAGAGTATTTGGCCTTTGTCTTTGGCTCCTGGCACAGAACTCCCAAACCTTTGGAATTTCATGAGTGACAGGAGTGTCTTTTGTCACCCTTAATGAGTCCCTTTTGATCACACCTGAGTTTGAACTAATGAGGGGACTTAGGGTAGGGCCTCTAGATATCCTCAACATGAGACTGGTCACCTGAAAGACCAAGCGATTAGAGGATTGGAATTTCAGCCCCACCCACTGACCTCCAGGAAGGGCACTGGAGATCAAGCTGTATAAAAACTCTTAGACAATGAGATTTGATGAGCTTCCAGGTTGGTGAGCACCTTGAGGTGCTGGGAGGGGTGGCATGCTGGAGAGGGCCTGCGCTCCACGCCCCTTCCCCATGCCTTGCCCCACGCACCTCTTCATCTGGCTCTTCATTCGTACCCTCATAATGTCCTCTATAATAAACTGGGAAGTAGGTGAAGTCTTTTCCTGAGTTCTGTGAGCCAGTCAGATAGAAGTGCAGGTAACTGGGGTACCCACTACTTGCAATTGGCATCTGAAGTGGGTGTGGTCTTGTGGGAGTGAGCCCTTAACTCGTGGGGTTTGCACAAACTTGAGATAGTTAGTGTCAGAATTAAATTAAGGTCTAGGACAGCCAGTTGGTGCCCACAGAGAACTGAAGAATTGCTTGGTGAGGAAAATATACGCATTTGTCGGTAGAGAAACAAAGTTTTCCTTTTATACCCTAATCACACGAATAAGATAGAGTTATATACAACATGTGTAGGACGCAATTACATTCATCACTTTGGGTATTAAAAAGTCTTAAACACTGAAAATCCATACATTTGTTGGTCTAAAGCGTGAGGATTTTGGATATTCTGCACCATTTTATTGTGTTTGAAAAGCCTATATTTTCTCTATTAGAAAACACCTGCTGAGTGTGATTGGCAATTCTTCAAATTTAGGGCCAAATTACAACCGAGGAGACTCTAGGTGGTGGTTATATGGGTGTTCAGTGTAAAATTATGAAACTTTTATAATAAAATATTGGAAAAACTATAACCAAGGAAGTGACAGTAGCCTCCCTGGTTTTGTGAATATGAAATGACTGGCAGAATGATAGCTGCTAAGGCAGAAAAGGAGAAGCTGAGGTCGTATGTCAAAGCGAAGCTCAGCAGGAAGGGATCGTGTGGATGAGTGGGGTGTGGTGGGGCCTCTCCTTACAGTGGAGCCCTGGTCTCTAGCTGCCCCTCAACTGATTTTGCTTTGGAAAACTTCCCAGTGTCCCAAATGCTATACTTATTGAAGTCTGAATAAATAAATGAATGGATGAGTATGCTCCTTATTTCTCATCTCCATTTATTCTACTGTCTGCATGACCCAGCTGGGAAGTGGGAAAATAGAGTAGCTGCTCATGGCACAATACACACCTGGTTTGCATTCCTCCATCTCTGTTTTTCCTGTCATTTAGAGAAGATAAAGTTGTCTTTTTGGAAAAACTTAAAATATCGGTTTGACAAATATCATTCTTATACTCATGAGATGAAGTCGAAAGAATATGTATTCCTTCAGAGGAATCTAAAATCTAAAACCCATCAACATTTCTAAGGAATAATAAAGATTGGGGGAAAAAATCAACCAAATAAAAGTGAGTTTCTGCCTCAGACTGAGTTGTAACAGAACGAAAAACTGACTCAAATGAGCTGCATGCATTATCCTTGCATCCTTCTCTCTTTTCTCACTAATTCATTTTCCACTTCATCTTCTATTCATACAATTATCCACATTCTGGATATTGGCTTATGTGTCTTTGAGTTTCTTTCTGTGTCTTCTGTTTGAATAAATTGATATTGACTATCTAACATGCATGACTAATGCTCTAAAGCTGTGGTCCCCAAACCCTGGCCACAGACGGGTACCAGTCTATGGTCTGTTAGGAACCAGGCTGCACAGCAGGTGAGTGGTGCGCAAGCCAGAGGAGCTTCATCTGGATTTACAGCTACTCCCCATCGCCTGAGCTCTGCCTCCTGTCAGATCAGTGGCAACATTAGATTCTCATAGGAGCACAAACCCTACTGTAAACTATACGTTTGAGGGATCTAGGTTCTGTGCTCCTTATGAGAATCTAATGCCTGATGACCTGAGATGGAGCTGAGGAGGTGATGCTAGTGCTGGGGAATGGCTGCAAATACAGATTATCATTAGCAGAGAAGTTTGATTGCATAACAAATGCAATGTGCTTGAATCATCCCCAAACCATCCCCACTCCAGGTCCATGGAAAAATGGTCTTCCATGAAACTGGTCCCTGGTGCCAAAAAGGTTGGGGACCGCTGCTCTAAAGCATGAATGAGTTACTTAATGTCTTTCATTGTATTATATGTACTTTTACCATGTTAAACTAATATTGCATCAGAGATTGACCCTGAAGGAGTATTAGAAATAATAATGAGACAGGAAAGCAGAGAACTAGTTTTCAGATATTAACTACTAGAGTATTCATTTTTCTCCAAAAGACTAAGGGATTTTAAATAATTGGCAGGTGAACAATTTCTTAAATAGAATGTAAGTTATTCACAGAATGTGCCTAACAACATATATTACAAAAATAATTATTCTTAGATCAGTTTAAGATCACTTAATTATCTTACCAAAGTAGAACAGAGTCTTGGGAAGAATTCATCCTTTTTTCCCTATCCTGAAAGTTATGGACAAGTTGGTTGAAATTCATACATTTCCTACTTTTCATTTCCCAGGATGCTGGAATATTACCCAGGAAATAAACATGATTGAGTCTGTTTGTTTCCTAAAACCATGAGAAAAATGTGGACTGCTTAGAAAGTTACACCCAAGGGAAAAGGCTCATGCTGAGACCATTGATGTTGTGAATGTGTTTGGTTACTTTTCTCAAGAGTCCACTTCTCATCACTGGATTAGGAAGCCTGCAGCCCATAGAGAAACAGTCGCTTGTCCAAGGTCAACAGAGTTGGGAAAAAAAAGACTAAGCTTGACAGATCTTTTCCATGTGCATGGATTTTGACAGTGACAGAAATACTGCACTCAACCTTCTACCTCTGTCAGCTCCTGTGCGTGGCATGAATTTGATATTTTAAGTGTAATTTACTAGATGTCTTCAAACCTAATCAAAAATTCAAATTAAATTTCTTTCCCTTACTCTCCAAGCCACCTTTGTTTATAGCTGTAGCCCTCAGTTCTTGGAGAGTTAATTCTTTGTTTAATTTGCTTGCAGTCAAATTTATAAATAAAGTGGCAGACCATAAAGGAGTTTTTGGACAACTGCCATCATGAGAATAGGAAGTTGACAGAGAGAGAAAGAGAGGAGTAAGCAGCTCTGCTGTGTAGTAGGCAGAGCAAGAAAATAATGGGGGGAGAGAAACAGGAGGAGGAGGAAGAGGAGAAGGAAGGAAAGAGGAGAGCTCAAGAACTGAGAAGTGTCACCAGAGGGCAGGACAGCAAGGAAAACACAAGATGGGTTAGGGAAATCAACAACCAGCACAGGATGTAGAATTATTGCAAGGCACAGCGGAAGAGGCAGGGTACTGAATTTGATGATTTTATAAAAATAGCTCCCATGGCCAAAAGGTCAGGAAACTGGCTGAGAAGTTAACTGGCCAAGAAGGCAGAACCTATAGAGGATAATGAAAATTCAAATGAGACCTTTGCATTATATTTTAGTATAGATAAACTATACTTTATCTATAAATTTTGCAATATACTATAAACTTTGAAGTAAAAAAAAAAACTAATGGCGATAAAGAGAGGTTAAAAAAGAACATTTAAAAGGTTTTCTTGAAAAAGAAAATTCTAGAATCTCTTTCCTTCTCGTGAGAAAGCTGTGCTGGCTCCTTCGTATGATTTCCTTGCTGCTCACGACAGGCACACTGCTTTCTGAGTTTGACTTTGCTTGGTTGGAGCTTTTCAGCTTGCAGCTGGGACTGCACTGGCTCTCTCGGGTCTGTGCCCTTTCCGTCGGACATTTCACATTTCATCTCATGTCTCCCTGTCTTCTTCATCAGGGACCCTCTGCCTGCTACTGGCTCTTTCATCCACAGGAAGTTTCAAAGAGTAAAGGCAGAATCATGTCAAGTTATGTTCCCTTAGCTGCTCATAAAGTTGCAGCGGCTCTAGAACTTGTTAGGGAGCATCGAGTAACTAGTTAATTCCCCATAACACACTGTTGAAAGTACTAAAGTCCTCAATCTCATCTCCTTTTCTACCATTATCCAGAGTTCTTTTTAAAATTTTTAAAATTTCATAATATGTAGGTGAAAGTGTCTAGAATATGCCACTGTGGCACAAAAATGATTTTGACCTGAAGGCACCAAAGAAGAGGCATTTTGTTTTTCTGAACTCCCTTATCTGCCTAAAAGCAGAGCCTCACAAAAGAACTCTCAAGTGTCATAAATCCCAGCCACTGGCCTGAGGCAGGGATACAGGTTTTAGGTCTCAAAAAAGAGTGGAGATGTTTTAAAGAGACACAAAATATTTTTGCCGGTTTCTTTTTTTTTTGTCAGGCCACTCTCTCAGTTACACACCCTGACTCCCACCCTTTCCCCTTCTTCTCCTCTTCATCCACTTTCCCTCCTCTTTCTTTTCTCATTCCTTTCCCTTCTTCATCCTCCTGTTCTCTCTCCTATCCCTTCTTCCCCTCGGCTGCGCTTGCAGAGGTAGGCTCACCTTGTACATCTAGTCTCTGTGAAGTAGGCAAACCAACACGCCGCGCCAGATCTCCACTCTTCAGTTCCAGTTTTCTGCCTGCACCCAAGTCAGTCAGAGCTACCCTTTCTTAGGAGCCGATGATCTTCGGTTTACGTGAGGGCTCCATTTTGGCTTGAGATTCAAGCTCTTCAATCCAGCTATTAATAGAAAAACAAAAACAAAAACAAAATAAAAACCCGAACTCTGTAAAATAATTTAAAGAGGTCTATTCTGAGCCGAATGTGTGTGACCAGCCCAGGCACATGGCCCCAGGAGGTCCTGAGAAAATGTTCCCCATGGTAGCCAGGTTACTGTTTGGTTTTATACACTCACGGAAACAGGAATTACACATAAAATCACAAATCAATAGGTAGAAGGTGTGCCTTGGTCTGGACCAAGGTGGGGGAGGCTTACTGGATTTGGTGGGTTTAAAGATTCTTTGATTTGTAATTAGTTAAAGGGATGAAGCTTTGTCTAAAAGCTTGGAATGTTTTAAATTCAGATAAGGATGTCCCTTAATCCTAATCTGTTAAACCACCAGCATTTACTGAAACTCATGTGATCTGTTAAGTAAATTGATGACCTGTAGAAGTGGTTTAAGCTTTATCTTGCTTCACCCAGTTACCTGTTAATGATTTAGTATCTTATTGTTATAAAGAGTAACTCCAAAAGGCAGGGAGCATGACGAGGCATGTCTGACCTCCCTTCTTCTCATGGGGGGGCAACTCAGCTTTAAGGTTTTTCTGGAATCCCCTTGACCAAGAGGGAGTCCATTCAGTTGGCTGGGGGGCTTGAAATTTTACTTTAGTTCCCACAGCTTTACCAGGGAGTCTGTACTTTGAGAGTTACTGAGCCTCCACCGTTAAACTTGATCTCCATTGTATCTATTCTTAATTTGTTAGAATACAGAGCAGAGAAAGAGTATGACCTTTCTCCCTTTGGCCTCCAACACAGACTCCAGACCAGCTTGTGCTTGGGAAGGCCCTTGAGTCTGGGTTATGACCAGGTCCAACCTCTTACTGTTGGGGTAACCCCACCTCCTGGTTTGCCAGTGTCAGCCCCAGTATACAACGTGTGACCCTTCATACTTCTTCCTAGCCCTCTTCTTCTCAAAACAGTGTGCCAGGAATGACAATAAGCTATGTGGTCACCCTATCTCTTGCCCACTTACCAAGGGCTATTCATCAGTTGGGTTTTTTCAGAAGAGGGCATGTATGTATCTATCACGAAAAAATATCTTGTACAAGCTACCGATTCCTAAATTTGGCATTCAAGAACCCTCCGCAATCCTTCCCCTGCTTACAGGCTTCCGTGCTTTTTACACTGCAGCTTGTCTTACAAGCTTGTCTGCCTGGTATTTTTTATGATTACATTAGCTGATTTCCTACTTCCGCCTCCAAGAACATAGAAAGTATTTTCTGCTTTTCTTGTTTTACTCTGGAATTGTCCATCTCTCTTCAATTTTTTTTTCTCCTTGTTTCTTACAAAACCCTACTCTGTTTCTTACAAAAGCCTAATACCCTCTCTTCTGTTTTTCTGTTTCTTAAAAAAAATGCTCTCATTTACAAAACCTTTCTAAATCCAGCCAAAGTGCCATCTTCACCAAGAAACCTGTCATAAGAGTTCAGGTGGAAATGACATGGTGTCTGAATGTTGGCAGACCAAAAATTCGAACTTCCGTTTTATTACTTATTAACTGGGTGGGCTTGAAACACTTAATTGTACCTCTAAGTCTCAATTTCCTCCTATATCTAATGGGTATAACACTTAGCTAACAGGGTTGTTTTAAGGATTAAATGAAGTCATTACTTATGTAAAAACACCTGTAAAATAACTTCCTTTTATTCCTATGAATTCATATAGTACTTCCGGCATACTACTTCATACTATAGATATTTATATATTTTTACCACAAATTGATTTGTTTCTTAAACTCAAGGGTTACATATATACACACACAAATACATTTATAAATGTGGTTATATGTGTATTTCATATGCATTTTTATATATGTGCATAAATGTGTGTATACATATATACACACACATATATACGTATGTGTACATAGAAAGTATTTTCTACATAATTTGTTCAATAAATGTTCAAACTGAGATCCAGAAAGGTTGTGACTTGTACCCAGCTAATTAGTTGATTAGGCTTGCCCCTTCTCTTTCACACAACTGAAGTTGCTATAAAAGGGAAGTATATATCTGTGTATCAACCCACATCCTAAAAGTATATTTATAATGTGTTAATTGAACACCAAGGCCTAGAAGTTGGCAGCATACTGGCACAAACACTTGCTTCCTATCTATGGGCCACCATCTGGCATACATTGTGGCCAGTCCATTGTTTACAGCTGGGCAGGCTCCACCGCTCTGCTGATTTGAGTGACATGGACACTGTGGCAGAGCAGAGTGCACAGGTTAATCTGGGAAGTGAAGACTCTGTACAAGGCATGTTTGGTGATTAAGAGCATGGACTGTGGAGCTAGACAACCTGGTTCTAATCCTGGCTTGGCCACTTCCCAGATTAGGGCTTTGTCTTAGTCTGTTTATAACAAAACACCACAGACTAGGTAGTTTACACAGAACAGAATTTTTTCCCCTATGGTTCTAGAGGCTGGGAGGTCCAAGATCCAGGTGCTGGTATCTGGTGAGGGCCTTCTTGCTGTTTCTTCACATGGTGGAGGCAGAAGGGCAAGATAGCCAATTGCTATGTGAAACTTCTTTTATAAGAGCTCCTGTTCATGAGAAAGGAGCCTTCATAGCCAAATCACCTCTTAAAGGTCCAACCTCTTGATGCTATCACATTGGCAGCACCTGAATTTTGGAAGAACCACATTGAAATCATAGCAGACCTTACTCAAATTACTTAACTTCTCTTATCACTGTCATCTTCCTCATTACCATTATCTAACAAGTGATTCTGCTTTAGGATTTTTGCTCAGGGGTAGGATGTTTATTTATTGTTTTACAGGAAGATATTCCTATTTTATTTGATAAATCTTGAATCATCGTCTGTCCTCTCATCCAAGATGCATCACCCAATGGCATGAGGGTGGACATTTTCTTTCACAGAGCAAAATTTTTTTCATTACTTTGACTAACCAAATCTTTACTCTCTTTATACATTAAAAATATTTTATCACAAGCCTATGCTACATATGACATAACTCCTGAAAGCCACACTGTGGAATCTTTGACTTCAAGTCTATGAATATTTTTTGTGTATTGCATAAAGTCATAGATATCCTGGATTCTGTAAGCAAAAGTAAAGATTCAAGGAAAACTTAGCATCCTATTATCCTCATATATAGTGCTAAGTGTTTTAAATGGACTCTTCCATCTACTTTCTCTTTCAATCATCAGATGAAGTGAAGGAGGTATCATAATTTCTATTTACATCTGAGGACAATGAAGCTCTAAGACGGTGATCAACAACTTCAGCCTACCACTGATTTTGTGCAGCCTGCAAGCTAAGAATGATTTTTACATTTTTAAATGGTTGGGGAAAATATCAAAAGAAGAATAACATTTCATTACATAAAATTATATGAAATTCAAATTTCAGTTTCCACTAATAAAGTTTTATTAGAAGACAACCATGTGCATTCATTTAAATATTATCCATGGCTGCTTTCAAACTACAACAGCATAGTGAGTAGTTTCAATACAGAGTATGTCCTATAAAGCTAAAAGTATTTACCAACTGGCCCTTTACAGAAAAAGTTTGCTGACTCCTGTTCTAAGGGATTAAATGACTTGCCCAAAATTACACAGCAGGTAGGACAAGGTTTTGCAACTTGAATCTAGGTTCCTTGACTATCTCAAAGAGCAGGCTCATTGACTAGATGTCTCTTTGCTTTATAGACCAAAAAAAAAAAAAAAGAGCAATTTTCATGTTTTTGAACAGTTAGGGACAGCCAAGCTTCTTAGCTTCAATTTCAATTGCAAAAAGCTTCAATTATGGAAGCACGGTAAATGCAGAATCCACAGATGCAGCCTCTCGAGTGCAGCTGATATGAGCACCTCCTCCTCACCCCTAATCAGACAGCTCCACTTCTTTGTCCCAGGCTACCCTCAAAGCTGAAGTGTGTCACCTGCAGGATACTCATCTCTCCCAACTGCACCATGATGAGACTTATTCTTGGCCTGACCCCAGACATAATACTTATCAAGAGTATTATACCCCTTGGTACTCTTGTGACTAAGGAAAATCAAAATAATATGTTGTCAGATGAGGAAAACAAATATCACTTTCACATCATCCCTTATTACTGCTTTCTTTTTAAATTTTCTTTAGCATTTACTGACAATATCTGCTCTGCATCTTGTATGTACAAAGAATGCTTTGGAAACTCAAATATTTACTTCTTTGGCTTGAAAACAGGTTTGCCAGTTGGTAAGCTTACAATGACTTGGAAGATAGCCATCTGTTCTCGACAGAAAATACGTTGCCCAGAGGATTTAAACAGGAGCAAGATGGCCAATTTGGGCAATTTCCCAAATATTACTGTGTTGGTTCATGGTATCCATTATTTTCTTTTTCTGTATGCATTCTTAGAAAATTAATCACATCCATATCCAAATGTAAATATATACATATATTCCAAAACCCAGTTAACTTTTGGAACAATCTAAATTTTGGAACAAGACCTGTTCTCACTTCCCTGTGTTAGTGCTAATAGCCAAGAATTGAACAAACTACTTCAACATCAGAAAATATGGTATGTAATTTCTTTCCTAAATATTACATGGAGTACTAAGACCAATTATCTATTAGGCCTCCATGTGCTAATATTTCATGTATATTACAGTTATTAATGAATTTGTCAAGAAAAAAGGCAAAATGCACATAAACTACAATAAGAAAATCTCTAAGAGATACAGTTATAAAGCAATTTATTTCATCATCATCATCATTACTAATAAAAGCCTATTGGAAATACACTGGGCTTGATACTCTACTAAGCTGTCAGAGAAACCTCTAAAATAGGAAGTAATTAATCAAGAGTAGAGAGAAAGAGTAGGGCAGAGAATGCTTTACCTGCCTTAGTTAAAATGTGGAGCCCCCCTAATGCCATACAAAACAGTTTGTAATTCATCCCTCTGCTGCAAGTTTTGTTTTTTAAGTTTTTATTTTGAAATGATTTAAG